CCGTTGCCTGTTGCTGGCGTGCGTGGCAGCAACATGCGTATGCTTTGTTTGCCTCTTGTCATTATAAATTGCTGGCGAGCAGCATTTTGATTTTACAAATTAATAATGAACAGCAGCAGCAGCAGCAACAGCAGCTCACAGTAGCAACATTATTGATGATGCACAACAGACAAACACACACACACACACACACACACACATACATGTTGTTCCAGGAATCTGCAGCTGACAAATGACAAGCAAGCGGGCAAAAGGATGCCAGCTAGCTCAAAGACTTCCGGCCTAGTTCATCAGAAGGCTGGGCAAAAAGCTTTTAGAAGAATGCCGCAGCCGCCATCTTGGCGAGGCAAGATTGATGCCAGCAGGCAGCAACGAGTAACCGGCAACTAGCAACAGGCAACAGGCAACAGGCGACATTGATAGTGATTGAAGGACAGCTGTTCACACTAGCCGCTCTAGCAAAGAGCCAGCGGGCAAAACGAAATGTCAAATTAGAATGCGAAACGTGTTGGCAATGGGAATGTGCTGAAGTGCGGGGCAGGCTCGTTGCAGCTGGACAATGGAGCTTGTGGCGGCACCTTTGGCTCAGCGGCATGCAAAGTAGCCAGCGCAGGCAGTCAGGCAGCCAGTGAGGCGGCGACAACAACAGCAACAACAACGGCAACTGTTGCTGCTGCAGTGCAAATTAATTGAAGCATCGCAGCAATGTCAACGACAGCAGCAACATCACGTGTTGCATGTTGCATTCGGCGTAGGCAGTTAAAGTTGAAGTTGAAGTCGAAGTCGAAGTCGACTGTTGAGTCTCTTTGGCTTTGGGGGCCAGTGTGGCAGTCACATTCTTATAATTATGTCATTTAATTAAGCAAAGACAGTTTGCCGTTGCTACGACTAATTAAAACATCGCGCCAGCAGCAGCAGCGGCAGCAGCGGCCGCAGCAACATGTGCAATATGAATGACCGTCCACTGTCGAAGGCAATAAACAATATGCAACATCCACAGATGCACAATAGCAACACAAGCACAACAAACAGTTTGCCGCTGCATCATACGATGTAAAGAATGCTTCCAGGAATTTGGGTCATAATTAATGTGGCATGATTTCAAGACATTTTAATCAAAGCGAATTGAGAGGGCAACTACAGCAGCAGCAGCAGCAACAGCAGCCGCAATAAGCAACAAGCTTCAAGGTTTATAATACCTTTGAAAAGTGTCACACACACATTAACATACACACGCACACACACACACACATACACACACACATATAGACAAAGCAGTAGAGCGCATTTAAAGTCACATCAATCATACGCAGCGGTGGCCCAGCTGTTCAATTGCAATACCATAACTCATTTTTATAGGCCGCCGCCACGCTCCCAGTGCTCAGTGCTCAGTGCTCAGTGCTCAGTTCGCTGAAAACTTGCGCACCGGGATTAAGATTTGCGGCCGAGATTCCGACCATGCCCAGGCTCAACTCGACGTCGCAGTCACTAAATTACAACAACTATTACACTGGCAGACAAAGAGAGAGCGAGCGAGAGAGATGGAGACAGGCCGTGCCCGACTGTCTGCCGTGCTGGCGTTGCTGTTGGCCTGCAGCCTGTTGGCCACGTCTATTGGTATATGGCTTTTGTGCTTTTGTGTGTTGGCCGTGTTGTAATTTCTTGGAAATTTCTGTTTTATGCGCGCACAACTTGGGCCAGCGCGAAATTTATGAGTCTCTGGCTGGCCAAGTGCAACACCTGGTAGCAGCCAGGAAGCGGCCTAGCCTTCACTAGCCAGCCCCAAAGGCTCAGCGCAAATTGCATTGGCAGTGCTTCAGCTTCAGCTTCAGCTTCAGGTTCAGCTTGGGCTTCTGCTTGCGCTTTAAATGGACTTTGATATTCCTGGCTGAATGGGCCCGCATTTATTTGATATCCCTTTTGTGACTTTGCCACTGTGCGTGACATTTGCGTTAAGTGCGTCAAGAGTTGTGTGGGAATATTTGCAACTTCAAACAACAGACGGACAGACGGAGAGACGGAGAGACAGAGCGACAGCTGAACTGACAAAGTTTTCATTTGTCTGATTTTGTCAGCGCGATAAGCAACAAAGTTGCAACAACAAATGAAAATCAACGACAAAAATATTGTCAAAAAGTCGAACTGTTGCTTACCTAGTCTAACCCATGCACAATTTGTTTATGGCATATGCTAATGTGCGCGCGTGTGAGTGCAATGGCAATACGCACGGCATAAAACCGTTAGCTTCAATGTGTTTCTGTGCGTGAGCGTGTGTGTGTATGCTTGTGATTTGTAGCTGTTTACATGTGAGTGTATATACGTGTGTGTGTGTTTGGCAAAGCCTTCACATGCTTAAAATGCATTTGTTTGCTGTCTCTCGCTAATTAAAAGTGCATTTAAATGATTGCACTTGCTCAGGCGGTAGACTAAGCGGACGAAGCTGTAAAATGCATATGCTGTGATATATGCATGAATGAATAAAATATCAATGAATATATAAATGAACCCTATAAGCATTTTCAATAAGTTTTATTTGAGTTGAAAGCTTGAAGAGTAAAGTTCTGTATAGCATTAGCTGAGCCAAAGGCCAATATAAATGTAAATAAATAAATATATATATAATATAATAAATAAATATATATATAATATAATAAATATAAAAATTACTTAAAGCGTTGTTCATAAAAATAGTAGTGCAACTGAGCACTAAATGTGGAACAACAAAATTTGGAGATATATGTGTAAATGTCATACAACTTAAACATAGCTTAGCTCACTTGACCTTATATTTTATGTATAAAATACGAAAACATATTTTATTTTCAGCTGCATGCCATAAATTACCTCAAAAACTTTGTCATAAGCTTGAACTGAAGCATTTTATAATTGAATTACTTGAAGTATATATAACATATATATACATATGTTTATGTGCAAACTTGATAGCAAATTCATGTGACCCGCTTCAGCAGGGCAACTTTGCTGTGGCCATATTGTTGACGAGCTGTATATACACATGTTCAAATACATATCTGTATTTTATTTTTCATCGAAAAGGCAACCCAGAAATAAGAAATGAGCAAGAGTCAAAACAATACAAAAAACAAAAAAACAACAACAAAAAAAAACAGAAAAAAGTTATTGCCAAATTTTCGGCATGTTTGCTTTTGAAATTTAAATTTCACAGGCTTGTTGCTATTGTTGTTGTCGGTTTTTATGGCTTGTATCATAAAAATCGCAATGTGTGTGAGCTGAGCATGTGTGCGTGTGTGTGTGCTGTGTGTAAGTGAGCGCGTCAAAATACATTAAACTGCATAAGCAAACGCGCAGCAGGCGTGTGTCTGTGTGTGCGTGTGTGTGCACACACATACGCCCCCTTGACGCGCTGGTATGCGAGCTGCTGCAACTAACTGAGCACTCATAATGCCAACTAAATTGAGTTACTCTGCTAAACTTGGTTTGTGACAACTCCAACGAACTCGGCCGCAGTGTGACACATGCAGACTAATGAATTTTAAAATCAACGCTCGCCACAGGTGCCCCAACGAGAAGCAGCAGCAGCCTCATCTCAAGCCGACAGACTGTCTGTCTGTCAAAATGGCAGACAAAAGAGCGCGATTTGAATGCGCGTTTTGAGTGCATGAATGAATTACAGCAGCCGGATCAGTGCTGGATCGCAGATGCTGTGATGCTGCTGCTGCTGCTGCTGCTGCCATGAAATCGAATCAAGCATCAATAAAGTGCGCAACATGAATTAAACATAAATGCAAACCGAAAGGGGGAGGGGGAACAGGCTATCCCAAAAAGAGCTGATTGATCACTTGCAGGCAACACCCGCCGCTTTGAGCTGTCTCCAGTGAGCGCTCGCGTTCCACATTCCGTGCCACCAACAAACAAACGAACGAATGAAAAAAGATTTTAAATTAAAATTTTCGCACACTTGAGGAGCAGGAAATAAATTCAACGGCAGCCGCATCGATGCATGTCACGTCCGTCCGTCGTCCGTCGTCCGTCGTCCGTTCGTCTGTCGGATTTTACGTGGAACTGTCAAAAATGCAGGCAAAAGCTGCGCTCAGCTGAAAGCAACAATAACAATGAGCATGGCTTTGGCAGCAGCAACTGCAACTGCAATGCTAAGTGCCAAGTGAAAATGGATTTTTTTTTATTTTTTTTTTTTTGGGAGGCAACTGTCAAAAGTGACAGCAACAGCAGCAGCCGTTGCCTCTGTGGCACCCACTTTTTCAAATTGAAAACTAACTTAGCGGAACCCGAAAAGCCAAATTTTTTTTTGGGCTGCCTCAAAAAACGGGGGCAATTGTTGTTGTTTTGTTTATTGTAGGCGTGTGAATCAAGAAATTGTTGTCGTCTGCTGCTGCTGCTGCTGCTGCCATAACACTAATGAGCATAGATAATTTGTTTCTATTTCTTCTTCTGTCTACAAATTGCGCGCAATTAGAAAACATGGAGCTGCCAGCTGGGAAAAGTTAAGTGAGCCAAGTCAGAGTCTGCGGCTGCGGCTGCGTCTGGTTATGGCCCAACAATTGTCAGGCTGTAAGTGAGCTGTTTACAGTTATAGTGAAACCGTTAAAGCTGATGCCACAAATCGCATTTTTGTGTGTGTTTTTTATGTTGGGCAGCAAACCAATGCGCGACCAAAGCAGCGCTAAGGGATGCAAACAGAACTCAATTGCTGTCGCTGTCGCTGTCGCTGTTGCCCCACCCCAAGGCCCTGCTGGCAGCCAACAGGAAACGACATAGAAAAAAAGCAGGCGCGAAGCAATCGATTTGTGGGCTGAGCCACACATGAATGAGGCACACATAAACCCCAGCCCGGGCTCGGAGTCACCCCCTGCGTTCCACGATTCATTAAAAACGCATTAGAAATGACATTAGGACAAATGTAGCCTCGGTGCGCCACTAAAATTACTTAAACAATAAATAAAGCATAAAGCACAAATCGTGTTTGGCTTTGTGTTTTTTGTTTAATTTCGTGAACTTACTGTGCTGATGATAGCTGGGATAGTAGCGTCGATGGTGTCCATTGCTTTCGAGCGCGTAGAAGGCGCTCATGTCGCTCGTATCCAGGCCGAGGCCGGCGCCAGCGCCGCCTGCACCGCCGCCAAGCGCTGCGCCCACACTGCTGCCCGCCGAGGAGGCGCCGCTGGACAAGCTGTGATGGCTGTGGGCCAGGCTGCTGCCGGTGCTGCCCAGGCCGTTTGTATGCGGCGAACCGCCGCCGCCGCCACCACCGCCGCCGCCCCCACCGCCGCCGCCGCCGCCTAAGCGCGGACTGTCATACCAGCTGCGAGCGGCAGCCTCCGCTGTTGAGGTCATATCCATTTCGAGTATAATTTTGAATGTTTTTTCAATAGAACGTGGGCGCGCAAAATTCTACAGAGAAGCTCGATCTCTGTGCTGCTCTCACTCCTGCGCACTCCTCTCTCTCCTTCTCACGATCTCTTTCGCTTGATTAATTTGCCTTTAAATAAGCTTCGACGCTTTTCAACACATGTTTATGCGCGCGTTTTGCAGCACTGCATTAGCTGTAAATGATTTGATTTCGGGTTAGAAAGAAGAACTTCATTGTCTTTGGACTGCGCTTTGAACGGTAGCTGCGGCGCGCCTTATCAGCCTATCACACCTAGCTGCCTACCTACCTACACCTGCCTACCCATTGCTTATCAGCCAAAAGCATTTTATATTTTTGTGTCGAATTTCTTTTTATAGCGCGCGTACAGTTGGCACTCAGGTTGATTTACAATTGCGCGGTAGCCCAAGCCATTATAACTATTACCTATATATACATATATGCTATATACATATGCCAGAGATTAGACTTTTCAGGTGGTCCACGTGCGTAGCTAAAGTGTGGGAAAAGGGGGCGCCGACTGCATTCCCTGATGGATGCCAGACAAAGACATCTAAAGGCACAAATTTGCAGCAGTTCTTCCTGGGGTTCTAATAAACATGTCGAAGGCGGCCCAAACAGTTTACCTTTTCTTTTTGGCCATTGTTCTCGCTGTCGCAGCGCTGTTTACACTGCAGCCTCTCTAATAGACTCAAAACAATGTCAAATCATGTCGAAGGCTGTGGCTGGTGTGCAGCTCAGGCAAAGTAAGTGCTCGCAGGTAATCGAGCTGCAATCAATCTATAAACAAATCTAGCTGTATGGCATATATAGCTTATATATTATAGATATTTGAGCTTCAATTAAGATTGGCAAGCGATAGTTAAACAGCATACTAGATATAAATAGTATTAGCATATTAATTGATTTTCACACACATACATATATATATATATTTATATATATATATAAATTAGTATTGTTTCATTGTGTCTTGTCTCTGCATATATATTCATAGCTTTAGCTTGTTTGATATAAGCATTTGGCAAATAAAAGTTACTATAAATTTTATAACATCATAAAAGATAAGAGCTGCTATAAATATATATATAGATATATATATATATAAATTTACAGGAATTTTTCTCGCTGATTTGTCATGCATATTCAAAGTTTTTGACACACTGTAAACAAAAGATAAGCGCGTTAAGCTCTTTCTGACAATTTCTGATATTTAGCTTAGAGTTGTCTGCGAATGACAATAGTTTCGCTTAGATTGCTGAGCTGCATGCCTAGCCTGAGACTTGGAGACTCTGGAACCCTGACTGTGTGGCGCTACAACTGTATCCTGTAGTTGCGACAACTTGTTGTGTGGGCGTTCGACGCCGACGGCAACTGCTTGTGGCACTTGAGAGTGGGCAAAGTTGTGCTGCCGCCCGGTGACTTCACCTGGCCGTGCAATTAGCGCTAAACATGCGGTTTGTATCCTACGCTCGACTAGGCCCAATTAGATGCCAGCGCTGCGGCCGACGCATCGCAACTATTATCAATGTGTAGCTATCTATGGCTGCGTTTGCTTAGACAGGTAGCTGGGCACCAAGACACAAAAAGAAAAAAAAGGAGAAGGAATGCGTATAATTTTTGAAGAATTCTCTTATCAGACATTCTGTGTGCGCCCTACAGTGTCTATCTGTTGGTTGTATCTCTTGATGTATGTGCATTCAGTGCTTGCCAGATTTTTATCAATAATTTTGTATTTTTTTGACTACTTTTTTTGTTTGTATTTGTTGCTGTTATTTGTTTTGGTTTCAAGCACAAAATTATTAATAATAAAAAGGCAGCAGAAGTTGCTGTTGCTGTTGCTGTTGCTGTTGCTCTTGTTGTTGTCCCCAGACCTGTCCAGGTTGCTGTTGTTGCCTCTCAGATGCCTATCGCACAATTGACAATTGCGCTACAAACAACCAGCCAAAAGATGATAAGGCAACATAACTTTCAACTATGAACACTGCGCATTGTATATAAATATATATATATATATATATGCTATAGATATATATATATATTTGAGTCTTTGATTTCGCTTGTTTAAAGTTTGACTGGGCCACGAAACTCAATCAATTTATCAGAGGCAGCGATAGCTGCACTCGTTCATATTATTGCTGTTGTTGCTGCTGCTGCTGTTGTTGTTGATTTGGGGAAAACACTTTTCATTAAAATGTTGGAATTGATAGCAATAAATTGATAAGCAAACTGTCAAATATTTTGTGCCCCAGCCCACTCATTGACCATGAGTAAGACGGGCTATGTTTCTTGATTCTTTCGTTTTTTTTTAGGTATATTATTTCATATACTTTCAGTTTATATTCCTATGCTGCTTGTGTTTAGGCTGATAGGTGCCTGTGCCGCTGCTACGTTCAAATCACATCGATTGCCCACTTGTTTTTATTGGGTTTCAACACTTTTCATTGCATTATGATTTTCATAGAATTTTCATAAATTTTCTTACATTTTGCACACATTTGTTAGTCACACATTGGTTTTGTTTATGTTTTCTTGTTGTTTGTTTTGCTTTGCTTTGAAACACTTTTTGTTCTCTGCTATGGAGATTTTTGCGCGCTTTTGCCGACGCGTTTTCTCTAGCTTGGCTTTGGGTTGTCGTTGCCGCTGTTTATTAATGTGGGGAATTGTTGTTGTCGTTGTCGTAGTTGTTAGAGTAGTTGCTGTTATTGCTGTTGCAAACGCGACGCTAACGTATACGTAATACGTAGAGCGTGTGAGCACACGAAAAACGAAACGAAACGATTCGAATCGGAGCGAACGGGCGAACGAGGCACGAGCAAACACTTCAACGGCCGCAGACCAACTGAACCACGAGCGCAAAACAGGAAAGCCAGCGGCAGAGACACGCGCTGCGTTTGTGTGCTGGTGTTGGTGTGTGTGCGTTTGCGTGCGCGTACATGTGTGTGTGTGTGTGCGTGTGTGTGTATGTGTGTGAAACTCGTCTGACGAGGGCCGGGCTTTGGCATTTGGCACATACAAGATGGTCGCAGCTGCAAGCGGCCAGGCTGTGCGTCGAAGCGAGATGGCAATACTCTCATTGTCAATATGCTTGTCACTGTTTGGCCTTCATGCGGGGCGTGTTTTTTGTTTGTTATGCACGCGGGCAGGTAAACCGGTTTGTGTTTCGTTTCGCTTGGCTGTTGTTGTTGTTGCTGTAGCTGTTGTTGTTATTATTGTTGTTGCAGTTGCATGTTTGTTTGCTTGTAGGGTTTGTCGTCGTTGTTGTCGCTGCTGCTGCGACTCGTCATGCTCGAGTGCATCGTTCAATAATCTCTCTGTGGCACGCCTCTCTGCGCTCTGCGCTCTGCACTTGGCACGGTGCTTCAACGTCGACTCGCTCATGCGCCAGGTGAGGCTTCGGCTCTAGCTCCGGCTCCGGCTCCGGCTTTGGCTTTGGCTTTGCCTGTCTGTCGATTCTCTCTTTCTCTCTCTCTCGGGTCTCTCACTCTGTTTGCGGCACAGCGTTTCGGCCACTGCTTTCTGCTTTCTGCCTTTGCCTTTTACCATTGCCATTGCCTGGCTGTCAAACAGTGACAACAATCATCGATCGTTCCGTTTGTGATTATGTGGTTTATTTATGGGCTTTAACATGTGTGCAGATTTGTCTGCCGATTTTGAGTTATGCACAGTCTCTGTCTGAGTGTAGGTGTTTCTCTCTCTGTCCTTCTCTCTCTCCCTCTCATGCTGTTTGTGTGTTGATGTTTTTGTCGCACATAAAACTAAATTTGCATAAATTAGCAGCTGGAAATTAAGCTAAATACACAATTATGCCTATGTTTATGCATATAACTGTACACACATTCACACACACACACACACAGTTAAGCATGTTAAATAGCTAATAAGCATAAGAGTCTATAAGACATTTGGCCTCCAGAGCTATAGCCTCTGTGTCTGCTTCTCCGTTTTTTTCTTTTTCTCAGGCAACAGCATCTTTGGCAACTATCTAGATAGAAATTATTAATATCGAGCTCATATTTTTTGTGGTTGAACAACTTGGCAAGTTGGCTGCCGTCTTCAACTTTAGAGTTTGTGTTGCCTCAGTACAGCTGCTGCGCATAAACAGCAAACACACACACTCACACACACACAGCCAGACAAAGGTAGAAATATGTATGTGCTTGTATATAGGAAGCGCTGCTACGTGAGCTGCTTTTTTAAGGGGGACCAGGAGTGGGGGTCTCCATCCCGCATTGATTTTCGCTTTAAAAAGTTTTGAATTTTTATTTCTTTTGCGCTCGAAACTTTTTGGCAAAAGGGTTAAATGTTGCGATTGTTGTTGCTTGCACCTGAAATCGAGCGCAAAAGTAGCGCAAAGACTTTTTGCAAGTGCCTGACTGGCTGACTGCCTGCCAGGATGCTGTGCCGCAGCTGGACCAACTTTCCCAGGCCCGAACCCCGCCAAAAAACATATTTTGAAACATTGCATACTCATTTCATAAGTTCATGCAACTGAGATAGAAATCTGAGCAGCTCGCCCTTTCTTTATGCCTTTAAGCAGTCAAATTTGTGTCAAGCGATTGCAATTTCAAGACTTCAGAGATACGTAGAAGGATGGGAACAGCCTAACCGAACTAGGTTAGCGCCTTCAAACGGAACTAACACGCATCGAAGATTAATTATAGCAGCTCAATCTTCCCATTGACCTCTCAGACAACAACAATTAGCCAACGGCTGTGGATAATCAATATGAATATGGCGAGCACGATAAGATTAGACTCGTAATTAGACTTGGCTCTATGGCAATAGCTAAATCTTATCTGTTTTGCAGCCGATATCAATAATAACTAAATACAGTGAGTGTCTACTGAAAGATTGTGAAAGGAAACTTTTCGGAAATGCCAAAAAAATCAAATAGAGATAACTGTAAATGTTACGATTAATTGTAACCGAAAAAAAATGTTTCCTTTCAAGTACGAGAGCTCTGCTAGGG